ATAAAACAAAAATAAAATAAATCTTCGAAAATAGTATTTTACCAAAAAAGTTGAACAGACTTCTAACAGAGGTAGTGAGAAAATAAACAGTAAGTGGCTTTGGACAAACAGATCTCATTAAAAAAAAAAACGAAATTAAAAAACAAATTAAAAAAAAAGTGGGGCCGGCTTAATGGAGCACATTTTCTGCTGTCACTCTGAGTCTAAAGTTCATTTTAAGCACTGAGAGTTTACATATAAAGTTCAGCTCTCTTCACCTGTCACATCAATGTGTCTGCTGTATATACGATTTCCCCTGTAGCTGAATCTCTGCTCTGGCTATTTCCAGGAACTCAGATCCTACCAGCTCTTGCCTAACACAAGCATAACATAAACTGTCATTGTACTAAGTCATATCCCCTCCCTTTCTATTGAACAGGTTTTGCTTGATATAAAGTGGTAGTAAACTCAATTTTTACACTGTTACTTACAGGTAAGCTAAAGCTTCCTGTAGGTAAAATGAAGATATTCTAAACTTGCACCATTTAGGAGATATTCTAGTGAGTGGCAGCCGGTGACAGCACCAACGCATGCGCTCTGAAGGAATGGCATACCCATGTTGTTCCTTCAGAGCTCTGTGCCGCGGCCATAGCGTTGGAGTGATGTCATCGCGGCTTCGGACATTCAAACAGAAGGAAGACTGGGTGAAGATGGAAGCCTCTGCAGCAGTGACAGCGTGTCACTGGAGGGCTTTGATTTAAGGTAAGTATTTCATAATGTTAAATTAAAAAAACGCAACGCAGTACTATAAATACAAATACGGTGCTAAATAAATCCAACGTGCATATGTGAAGAGTGAAAACAGCAAATTGTGCTGTGTGACATTAATATGTGCTATATCACAATAAATATCAACACATATACATGAGTATCCATAAAACTGCATATACCAGTGTTAAATGAATAGTGTATGCAAATATCAAATGAACCATACAAAATAGTGTATTGTCCCTTTAACACTCCAATATCTTCACATGTGCTTGTGCAGTATATCTCCTGTGCATCGTGTTCCAAATACACCATCAACAAGTGCCTCAATATTATGGTCTGAAAACGCAGGTGAACTGCCCCTTTAAGTGGGTCTGTGTGATCATACTACTGCATACACATATATGATGCTCCTGTGTCACCCCTTAGTACTTATCCACCTCTGACACACTATTGCGCTCACCTTCAGGTTTGACCTGAACACTCAGGTCAAACTACGCCTTTGCCTTTAACCCGGGAGGGTATACTGGTGCATAAATCTTCACCACTCTCAGCACTTAAAATATCCAAAACGCTCCACAGACATATGAAAAAAATGCTCCATATAGTGAAGTATAGCCAAATACAATCCACTTTATTAAAACTGATCGAAAATACACACATTTAAAAGTGTCCACCTGGGATACTACAGGATCAAAGACTCACTATACAGTATAATTGTTGAATCAAAGTGCATAGATTCCTTATCCAAAATGGCGGCACGTGCATGCTAGCACATTATGCCTTTACCTTGCAAGAAAAAATCTTCTTTTTTTAAATTTTGTTTAGGTTTACTACCACTTTAAAATCCTAAAATGCTAAGAAGAAAACTCAGTTTTTGCAGCCAGGATTCATGGCTGAGGAAATAGCACACAGAGACATGATAATCAAATGTGTCATTCATTCCTAGCGAATGTATAGTTGGAATACGGTTTAAAGTGAACCTGCGTCCAGCAAAATAAAGTGCTGGTAATATAGGCATCTTACAGCTGGAGGACCCTAAATCCTAGGCACTATATTGTAGTTTATAAATTCTTAGGTGTGATGGCTGTACTAGTTTTTTTTTTCCCCCTCATATTCACCTGGTGATCCTGTTAGTAAGTCTGTTGTTTTTCAACTTCCTTTAACAGACCAGGCTGTCCAAAGTAGTAGATAGAGGGTTAAGACAAACCATTTACCACTAATGGAGGGGTTTGCAATGATCATATTTTATTAATTTATGTAAAACCTTTATCCCGAAGGGAAAAAAAAAAAAACTTAGCTGTAACTGCTTATAAAGTGTTAGCTGGAGTTCAGCTTTCAAGTGGTTCTAACGGCAGACTTTTTTTTACCTTAACGCATTCTCTGCATTCTGCATTAAAGCAGCTCCCCCCCTTAATACTTACCTGGGCCTGATCTCGATCCTGCTATGTGCACGAGAGCAGAGGCTCTCTTGGCTTTCTTCCTCCTCATTGGCTCAGACACAGCAGTGGGAGCCATTGGCTGCTGTCAATCACAGGCAGTGTGGAGGGAGAGGGCATGGAGCTGATCCGTGCTCTCTGTGCCTTTTGGACACGCAAATTCAGCATGAGAGTGAGCATGCACTAGTGCCCGTATAGCAAGTGGGAGGGAGGGGCAGGAACGCCGACAGTGGACCCGAGAAGAGGAGAATCTGGGCTGTTCTGTGCAAAATCACACGGAATAGGTAAGTATGACATGTTTGTTATTTTTTAAAAATACAATTTTATTCTTTACAATCACATTTAATTTGTTGGTCAAGTCTATCTACCCTCCCACCAGACTGACAATGCTGCTGTTCAAAGGTGTCTGCTTTACCACTTCATCCAGAATGCAGACACCCTAAGACAGGAAATATATTACTAGCTGGATCAGCAGGTGAAATAAAAATAGAAAACTAATACAGCCACCACATCTAAGGATTGGTACATCACATTTTTGTTTTTGGGTTTAATACTACTTTAAGGGTTTCTCTCTCTATGGCCATGCTCATGCCAATATGACTGATCTTATTTGAAAAAAAAGTGTAGGACTGTGGCTTCTCTGTGATTATTTGCAGCTGTGTGGTTTTTTTTTTTTACAGAAAAAACAGATGAGAGAGGGAATATGGTCTCTTAAAATTAAATGTCTACACATTGCGCAGATGACATTTAGGGCTGTCCTTGGATTTGTTCAGTATAGAAAATAAAGAAAACAAAAAAGCATCCACTGTCAAGGCTTGTTCACACCAGATGTGTTAGTATGCATTATCCAGCTCAGGAAAAACACAGAAACATGAGAAAATCCATCTGTGCAATTAAACCCATTTCAATGTGGTATGCAGGAAAAACATAAATAGAAAACTTGACAGACAGCATATTGGAATGTTGTGTGTTTGCTGCCATTGCTTTACATTAGGGGGGTGTGCTGAACTGTGTAAAACACCAATAAACTATTTCTCATTTCATTTTTCTCCATATTACACTAGAGTCTCAGCTGGCAGTAAGAGGACACATCCCCAACATCTGACTGGTCTTCCTGTTTCTCGTGACTTAGCAGTATTACCCAAGAAGCAGATACTAGTAAGATCTGTTGCAACCTTCTTCAGTTCACTGCTTATACTAAAATTTCTATAGTGTTTTGTAATATACTCATATCCATAGCCATATCCATATCATAGCTGCCTAGACAATTTTAGATGATCTTATGTGAGTTCCATAACAATGGCAATTATCAACAAAGACATTTTATTTTAGACATTATTTGATGATAACTCTTGCCTTCATAAATTGGCCTGATTTTTTTGCCTTCTGAATGATCCAGAAATTTGTAATGGTGCTACACCATTTGCAAATCTGGATATACGGTACCTAGTATTCCCTACAATACGTCTTTGTTAGAGGATGTACAGAAAACTTGACATTTCAGCACTCAAAAATGGTGGAGGCCCCCATCCTATGCTGCAGAGTTAAGCCAAAGTCAGACAACCCAAACTGGAAGGGTAGGTGGTGCCGCCCTCTTCGAATCAGGGAAATCCGATACTAAAAAAACAGAAAGGGTGCAAAGCCTTGTGCATTATCTTTGGTATTTTATTGATAGAGCAAATAGAAAAATACTTACAGGCTCAATAGGCTGAAAGCATGTAAACACACAGGCATGAAATGCATTTGTACGCTATCCATTTCCAACTGATGAATGGATGACTAGGACAGCTGATGCCTTTCGAGGAACTGGCTCCCTTCCTCAGAGCTATGGCTGGTGGCCCACTCACCTCCACCTTACTAAATAGTGATGGATAAGGCCACACCCCTCATCAGTGATGCCGGAGTAGGGGTGGGGGAGGGAAGGCATAACATGGCACCAGTCAATAAAAAGATTTCTAAGTATATGCATATACTATATATATATATATATATATATATATATATATATATATATATTTACACACACAGTGGAGAAAATAATTATTCAATCCCCTTTGGATTTTGTAAGTTTTCCCACTTACAAAGAAATTAAGGGTCTATAATTGTTATCATAGGTGTATTTTAAATGATAGAGACAGAATATCAACCGAAAATCCAGAAAAAACACATGATACAAATGTTATAAATGGAGTTTCAGTTCAGTGAGTAAAATAAGTATCTAATCCCCTACTAACCAATAATAATTCTGGCTCCCACAGACTGGCTATGTGCTCATGTGTACCAGATTAGTCCTGTCAATCTGAAAATGTCAATTTAAAAAGGTGCTCCTAACGACAACTCGTTACGTGTGTAAAAGACACCTGTCCACAGAATCTCTTTCTTCCATTCAAACCTCCCCATCATGGGCAAGACCAAAGAGCTGTCAAAGGACATCAGAGACAAGATTGTAGACCTGCACAAGGCTGGAATGGGCTACAAGACCATCAGCAAGAAGCTTGGTGAGAAGGAGACAGCTGTTGGAGCGGTTATTCACAAATGGAAGAAATACAAAATAACCATCAATCGCCCTCAGTATGGAGCTCCGTGCAAGGTTTCGCCTTGTGGAGTAAGGACGATCATGAGAAAAGTGAGGTCAGCTCAGAACTACACTTGGGGAGCTTGTGAATGATCTCATTGGAGTTGGGACCACAGTCACCAAACAAACCATTGGTAACACAATACAGCGCCATGGGTTGAAATCCTGCAGCGCCTGCAAGGTCCCCATCCTCAAGAAAGCACATGTATAGGCCCATCTGAAGTCTGCCAGTAAACATCTAAATCAGGGCTTGAAATTTCCACTCGCCAATGGCGAGTGGAAATTATGGTGGGGGAGAGTGTGTCCCCCAGGGCCACCTTGCTGAGCAGGCTCGGAGCTCAGGCCGGATCTGTCCTTGGCACTGGGAGCCGTCAGACTGCGCAATAGCTGAGCGCAGTGAAAGCAAAGGAAGGAGTGTGTGCTGTGCTCTCTGCCTCCCCCTAGAGTGCAGTACCCGGCTCTGTGAGTGAACAACGAAGTACTGCAACTTGTTAGTGGGGGGTGTACGATGACATGTGTGTGTCTGTGTATGCATGTACATGTGTCTCTGTACATGTGTGTATCTGTACAAGTGTCTGCATGTATGTACATGTATGTGTGCATGTGTCTGTGTGTATGTACTACATGTGTATGTGTATTTGTGTGTATGTACGTACATGTGTCTGTGTGTACATGTGTCTGTGTATGTATGTACGTACATGTGTCTGAGTGTATGTACATATGTCTGTGCCTGTGTATTTCTGTGTATGTGCATGTATCTGTGTGTATGCGTGTCTGTACATGCCCGTGTGTGTATACATGTGTCTGTATGTGTGTGTTTGTACATGTGTCTCTGTGCATGTGTGTACATGTTTCTGTGTGTATGTGTGTATGTACATGTCTGTGTGTAGGTGTACAGGTGTCTCTGTTTGTGTGTGTTTGTTGGTGGCGAGTAACTCTTGAGGCCTGGCTAGTAGCTCAGGACTTGAAATTTTAAGCCCTGATCTAAATGATTCAGGCAAGGATTGGGAGAAAGTGTTATGGTCAGATGAGACCACAATTGAGTTCTTTGGCATTAACTCGACTCGCTGTGTTTGGAAGAAGAAAATTGCTGACTATGACCCTAAGAACATCATCCCTACAGTCAAGCATGGAGGTGGAAACATTATGCATTAGGGCTGTTTCTCTGCTAAAGGTACAGGCCGACTTTACTGCATTGAGGGGCCAATGGACAAGGCCATGTATTGCAAAATCTTGGATGAGAACCTTTTTTCCTTCAGCCAGAACACTGAAGATGGGTGGTGGATAAGTCTTCCAGCATGACAATGACCCAAAACATACCGCCAATGCAACAAATGAGTGGCTAAAGAAGAAGCACATTAAGGTCATGGAGTGGCCTAGCCAGTCACCAGACCATAATCCTATAGAAAATTTATGGAGCAAGCTCAAACCTTTGAGTTGCCAAGCAACAGCCAAGAATCCTTAAGGATTTAGAAAAGATCTGTAAAGAAGAGTGGACCAAAATCCCTCCTGAGATTTGTGCAAACCTGGTAACCAACTACAAGAAACGTCTTAACAACCCTTGCCAACAAGGGTTTCTCTACCAAGTATTAAGTCATGTTTTGCTTGGGGATCAAATGCTTATTTTACTCACTGAACTGAAACTCAATTTATAACATTTGTATCATGTGGTTTTGTTTTGGATATTTGGTTGATATTCTATCTCAATCATTTAAAATACACCTATGATAAAAATTATAGACCCTTTATTCCTTTGTAAGTGGGCAAACTTACAAAATCTGCAGGGGATCAAATAATTATTTTCTCCACTGTGTACACATATATATCTGTATTACTATTTAGTAAGGTGGAGGTGAGTGGGCCACCAGCCATAGTTCTGAAGAGGGGGGCTAGTTCTGCGAAATGCATAAGCCAGCTCTGTCATCCATTCATCAGTTGGAATTGGATAGCGGATGAATGCATTTCATACCTGTGTGTTTACATGCTTTCAGCCTATTGGGCTTCTGAGTATATTTTTATTTGCTCTATCAATAAAATGCTAAAGATAATGCACTAGGTGTTTGCACCCTGTTTCTTTACTTCTTTGTTAGTGTACACACCAGAAGGTCCCATTCACACTATATGCGTTGGACTGTATTGAGCAGCCTCTCCCAACGCAGTCCTAATAATTAGACATGGCAATTGCCATTATGTCCTATTAGTTCAATTCTGAAAAAAGTAAAACATAATGCATTTTTTGTAAAGCAGTGCAGTGGGTTATAACCAGGGATGGACTGACCATTTGGAAACTCGGGCACTGCCCGAGGGCCTGGGGTCAGTAGGGGGCCCCATGAGATGCCCCTGGTACCTTTTTCATAGGCTTTTTTGAGTTTGGGCAAGGACACAGGGGCCCCAAGATCCCCTATTGCCCGGGGCCCCATGAGTTGTCAGTCCACCCCTGGTTATAACGCACTACACAGCATCACATAGTGCTACAGTGCATAAATACATTTTGTGACACTTCAATAAAGCTACAAAAAAAAAGTGTTCCATTTATGTTAGTTGTTTTGTCTAGTATAAATGTGGAACCTTCAGCAAAGCAACTGTCCACCTCATAGAATTATGGTAGGAGCTTCTTGCGGCTATTTAAATTGCCCTGAGCATGGGGTCAGCCATCATAAACCTAAGCTTTAAACAGTTGTGCTCAAAAGTTTGCATACCCTGGCATAAGTCATGAAATTTTGGTATTGCTATTGAAAATATAACTAATCATGCCAAAAAACTTCTATCTTTTGTCTTTTATTTAATAATAGTGATAATATGATTTATTATCACATAGTTGTTTGGCTCATTTTTAAATCATAGTGATAACAGAAATCACCCAAATGGCAATGATCAAAAGTTTACATACCCTGGAATGTCTGGCCTTGGTACAGACACATAAGGCGATACACATGGGTTAAAATGCCAATTAAAAGGGTAACTTCCCACATCTGTGGCTTTTTAAATTACAATTAGTGTCTGTTTATAAATATCAATGCTCTTGTTAGCTCTCACGTGAATCCACTGAGCAGGCTAGATACTGAACTATTGGGAGCAGAAAAGAACTGTCAAAAGACCTGCGTTCAAAGTAATGGAACTTTTTAAAGATGGAAAAGGATATAAAATTATAACCAAATCCTTGAAAATGCCAGTCAGTACTGTTTAATCGCTTATTATTAAGTGGAAAATTGGGGGATCTCTTGGTACCAAGCCAAGGTCAGGTAGACCAAGAAAGATTTCAGCCACAACTGCAAGAAGAATTGTTTGGGATACAAAGAAAAACCCACAGGTAACCTCAGGAGAAATATAGACTGCTCTGGAAAAAGACGGTGTGGTTATTTCAAGTCACACAATGCGACGATACTTGAACAAAAATGATCTGCATGGTCAAGATGCCATAAAAAAAAACCTTTACTGCACCAATGCCACAAAAAAGCTCGGTTACAACATGTCCAACAACACCTTGACATGCCTTACAGCTTCTGGAACACTGTAATCTGGAGTGACAAAACCAAAATAGAGATTTTTGAGGGGGTCAACAAGTCCAGTAGGATACCATCCCCACTGTGAAGCATGGTGGTGGTTCACTGATGTTTTGGAGGTACGTGAGCTCTAAAGGCACAGGTAATCCTGTGAAAATTGATGGCAAGATAAATGCAGCATGTTATCAGAAAATATTGACAGCCAATTTGCATTCGTCTGCACGAAAGTTGCGCATGGGACACTCTTGGACTTTCCAGTATGACAATGACCTAAGTAGAAGGCCAGGTTGACTCTCCAGTGGTTATAGAAGAAAAAGGTGAAGGTTCTGGAGTGGCCATCACAGTTTCCTACCCTTAATATCATTGAGCCATTCTGGGGAGATCTCAAATGTGCAATTCATGCAAGACAACCAAAGACTTTGCAGGACCTTGAGGCTTTTTGCACAACAAATGGGCAGCTAAACCACCTGCAAGATATTGGGGCCTCATAGACCACTATTACAAAAGAATGCACGCTTTCAATGATGCTAAAGGGGCAATACACAGCATTAATAACTAAGGGTATGCAGACTTTTGAACAGAGATCATTTGTTTACTTGTTGCCATGTTTTGTTTTATGATTGTGTCATCCTGTTATGAACTACAGTTGAATATGAATCCCATAACAAATAAAAGAAATGTGTTTTGCCTGCTCACTCATGTTATCTTTAACCGCCTCCTGCCCACCATATAAGGAGATGATGGGCGCAAGGCGGTTCTCTCGTTCTTGGAGGATGTCATATGATGTCCTCCCATTGTAACCTCGCCTGTGCAGCCCCAGGGGGTGCGCAGCATGGCAATCGGTGGTGTGCTGTGTCCCTGGAAAGAGCCGATTATGTCGGCTCGGTCATGTGATCAACTGTGTCCAATCACAGCTGATCGCATGTAAATAAGGAAATGCCAGTTATCGGCATTCCTCTTCTCACTAACTGTCATGCTGACAGGTTGTGAGAAGAGGAGAGCCGGTAATCAGCATTACTCAGGGCTCTGATGATCAGTGTGCCCTGATGATCAGTGTAGCCCCATCAGCGCCACCTGTCAGTGTCCATCAATGCCACCTGTTAGTGCCCATCAATGCCACGTGCCAGTGCCCATCAGTGCCACATAAATGCCACATATCAGTGCCTACCAGTGCACATCAATGCCACATATCAGTGCCCATCTGAGCTGCCTTTCAGTGCCACCTATCAGTGCCAGACAGTGCTGCCAATCAGTGCCACTTAGCAGTGTCAGTCAGTGTCGCCTATCAGTGCCAGTCAGTGTCGCCTATCAGTGTGCATCAGTGCTGCCTATCAGTGCTCATCAGTGCTGCCTATCAGTGCCGCCTAACAGTGCCAGTCAGTGCCACCTAACAGTGCCAGTCAGTGTCACCAATCAGTGCCAATCAGTGCTGCCTATCAGTGGCATATATGAGTGCTGCCTTTCAATGCCCATCAGTGATGCCTGTCAATGCCCATCAGTGCCACCTAGCAGTGCCTCCTCATCAGTGCCCATCAGTGCAGCCCATCAGTGCCCATCACTTCAGCCTCATAATGCACATCAGTGAAGGAGAAAAATCACTTATTTACAAACTTTTATAATAGAAACTACAAAAAAAATTAGTTTTTTTCAAAATTTCCAATTTTTGGTTTGTTTAGCAAAAAATAAAAAACCCAGAGGTGATTAAATACCACCAAAAGAAAGCTCTATCTGTCTCAAAAAGTTATAAAAATGTCAAATGAGTACAATGTTGCATGACTGCGCAATTGTCATTCAAAGTGTGACAGCGCTGAAAGCTGAAAATTGGCCTGGGTAGGAAGGGGGTATAAGTGCCCTGTAGGCTAGTGGTTAAAAATGGTGCATACTATATATTCCCAATTCTCCAAGGGTACATAAACCTTTGAGCACAACTGTACATATGATTAATTGGTATACAACATCACCTCTATCTACATATTTATATCTAATATCCTGAGGAAGTTTTAACATTTAATGGCCCAAAGCAATTGTAAGGTCAATACCTTGAAGTCTGATATGCTAAGCACATTTTTATCTCCATGAAGCCCCATCATTTTTGCATTACTCATACTCAATGTAATCCTGAGATCAGTTCATGTTCCAATACTCCAGCTGGCATTTCTTCTTCCTGCAACTTTAGTTCATGACACACCTCTTCATTATCAGACCTGACTCATGGCCGGCTCAGCTGTTAAGATAAGAACACCTACTTAGCCCTACCACCATGTAAACATATAGAAGTCACTTTGATTATCTGAGTTGGGCAAGAGATCAACATGAGTTTTGGTGTGGCTGCAAGTGCACGCTACTTTGGGAGAGCAGGATTACTGAACTATTAAACTATTTGGGTGGGATCAATAGCACTGTCTAAAGATGGTCCTATACAATGTAGGAACTATATCTGTTGTGGTGTGGCTAGACACACAGATTACTTTAGGAGAAGGATTACAGAACCTATGGTATGTGGGTGGTTCAATGGCACTGTTTCAGGATGGCCCTATACCACGTAGGACCTACATGGGTTTTAGTGCAGCTACTTTGGGAGAGCAGGAATACTAACTATTATAGTATTTGGGTGGTTCAATGATAATGTCTAAAAATGGCCCTATATGATGTTGGACCTATATGAGTTTTGTTGTGGCTGTAGTTGCAGACTACTTTGGAAGAGCAAGAATACTAATTTACTATATTATGTGTGTGGTTCAGTGATGCTGTCTTAAGATGGCCCTACATGATGTGGGTGTGATGCCGTGGTCTCTGCAGCTTACGCATATATTTGCAAATGTGTGCAAACTATACCCCTTGTTTTAACACGAACTGTTAGAGAGGACAATTCAGTTGGTTGCAGGATGGCTGTTAAGTGAGCTGGGAATTTGTTTGTTGGTTTTTCATATGCATTGCCCTTTCATGTGCTCCTTGCTGCAAAGGCCAATTATAGGTTGGGGTGGTTGCCATTTGTTTGTACTGTTGGTTAATTGACAAGGGAACACACTGGATACCTTTACTGCTATTGCTGGGGTTGGCTCCCTCGAGGCATACCTGCCCTAATCTATCCATTATTATACATGTGCTCCAACATTGGAGACTCGCAGCATTTTTAGAGTTAGGACTGCAGTACATTGGGGTGCTGTGACATGGCCTCTGTAGCTTACTCATATATTTTCAAATGTGCGCAAACTAAGCCCTTTGTTTTAATGTGTACTGTTAGACAGGGTAATTTGGTTTGTTGAAGGCTGGCTGATAAGTGAGTTGGGAATTTTTGTTTGTTGTTTTTTGACCTACATGATTCAGGAACTACATGAGTTTTGTTGTGGCTGGATGTGCAGAGCACTTTGGGAGAGCAGGGTTACTAAACTAATTTTTTTTTTTTAAGTCCGCGAACGTGCGAAAAAACTAAAAACCCGTAAGTGTTCACAAAAAACGTGCAAGTGCAAAACACCACACAAAAAAGTGCACTTAGGGGTGTGCTTTGTCCTTCCCCCGAAGGGGATGGACCTCTACCCTGATCCCCCGGGGCACGAAGCTCCTGACAGGGACAGGTTCCCATTTGGTCCACCTAGCCAAAAGGCCTGGCTGACCACCGTTCCTTGTGGCCAGCCGAAACCAGCCACTCAGTACTTGGTCAGGGGGCTCTCCCGAAGAGAAAACCCCCTGGGGACAGGGGAGGAAGGAACCAAATGCCACACATCCTCCCCCTAGACTTCAGGGTAGGCCCGAGGACCCACACCCTCCATCCTGTGAGAAATAAAACACACACAAAAGTGAAAGTGACAAACGTGGGAGAAAGAATAAATTAAATAAATAAAGTGGTCATGCAGATTGTGCACTGACCAGGCCCTGAGGCCCGTAGCAAAAATTGCCCAGAACTTAGCCAAAAGGCCCGGTCCTAAAAGGCGCAGTGCAAGAAAAGTGTTTGAACACAGTGACCATGTGCCTTTTCACACGCTGGGGTCCTACACCCAAGTGTTACTAAGAGCACCCCTGAGGCGACCACTCAGGGGGCACTGGTTCGTGGACTTTCTGCCTCCCCGGCTTCTGGCCAGACAAGGTAGATCCGTTCAAATCAGGAGGAACTGGGCCCCTCCGGTTTTCCAGGGGGAATTACTCCCGGGCCCCAGCAGCCTGTGGGCACCTCGGTTTCTGTTCCAGCCTGTACTAACCATCAGGACCCCCATCATACCAGCAGGGGTACTATACAACCAATCATCCCCGCAAAGCTAGAATGATGGGGAGCACCCCTGCTGGACACTGATAAGAACAGATACTACACTTGATCTTAGCCAAAAGGGTTACTAAACTAATATGGTATTTGAGTGGTTCAATAGCACTGTCTTAAGATGGCCCTACAACATGGAAAACGTATATCTGTTTTGGTGTGGATGAAGTTTCAGACTACTTTGGGAGAACAAGAATGCTAAACTGTCATATTTGTGGAATATGCTATAAGAATGTAAGCTCCAAGGGTCAGGCCCACCTAACCAGGGGCGGACTGACCATTTGGAAACTCAGGCATTGCCCGAGGGCCCGGGGTCAGTAGGGGGCCCCATGAGATGCCCCTGGTACCTTTTTCATAGGCTTTTTTGAGTTTGGGCAAGGACACAGGGGCCCCATGATCCCCTATTGCCTGGGGGCCCCATGAGTTGTCAGTCCGCCCCTGCTCCTAACCCTCTTGTATTGAACTGTATTGTTGCTGTATTGTCTCCCTTTATATTGTAAAACTGTTGGTGCTATATAAATCCTGTATAATAATAATAATAATCTAATATATTTTGTGAGTGGTTCTGTGTGTAAAAATGCCCATACATATTGAGCTTAGATTGTACAATCTCTGTTAGATTTAGCAAAACTATGTAATGAGAAAGCCTACCTAAACAATGAATTCAGTTTGCATCTAATAAGAGGTCCTTGCACTACATTGTTGTTGGTGATTGTATAATTGAATTGTAACATTTGTAGCCTGCCTAAATTTTATCTGTTTTAGATTTTCAAATGCTGGGAATAAATACATTATCATGGTACAGGTATCAGTAATGTGATTTCATTTCAGTTTTACACATAGTGCTCAAATCACAAAGCTTTAACACCAGGATAGGGTTTGTACAACAACAAATGGCTGCACATCAATAATGTACCGCCTTTTACAAAACTTTATTCAGCCAGGCAGAATGGGGATTAAGCTCAATCAAGCTTTGTAAAAGGAAGCGATGTCAATGGTGTGCGGTTGTTTGGTGTTTGTGCAAAGTTTACACTGAGCATAGATGGGCTCCTTTAGTTAGCAGCTGAAACACCTGTAGCAGAATTTAGACTGGTGGGGTCTCCTCTTAATCCCCTCTATTATAAGGATAGGGTTCCTTATTTTTGCTGGGCATTGTGATTTTTGCACAGGTATTAAACCCAAAACCAAACATGTAAAATATTGCAGATATCCAATTATTAGATGTGGTGGTTGTATTAGTTTTGCTTTTTTTAAGCCGTTTTCACAGGGTGATCTAGCCAGTAACATCTTATGTATTAGAGTGCCTCCTCTCTGGATGTAGGTGCACAGGGGGCACAGCAGACAGCAGGGAAAGGGTAGTGTACATTAGCAGATTTACATACACTAACTAATTGAAGCCAAACTCCAGATCACACTTTCTAAGCAGTGACAGCAAACTGTTTTTTTCCTTTTGGGAAAAAACGTTTTACATAATAATTAAAAGCTGATCCTTGTAACTAGAGATTAGCGAATCAAACATGACGAAGTGGAATTCGTTCCGAAGATTTGGAAAAATTCTATTCGCGACGAATCCGAAGATTAGCAAACTTCGGATGCACGAATCGAATTTTCCCAAAAATGGCGGCGACATGTGTGGCGACGGAGAAAATGGACAGAGAAGATGGGGCGGGGATCTCTGGGAAGGCGCGCAGACAAGGCGCGCTGACCCATAATGCATTCATGACATGTGATCGCATTAGCCAATCAGCAGCCATCCTCTGCCATGTGCGTCTTTGTCGTCTGCTCACACTGCTGGGTTCCAGTTTTAAACCTAGGCCTGTGTATGGCTTCCGAATACTGCTGCCTCCACCGCCACCCTGCGCCATGTGCCTCTGTCGTCTGCTCACGCTGCTGACGGCTTCCGCTTTTTAACCTAGGCCTGTGTATGGCTTCCGAATAATGCTGCCTCCACCGCCACCCTGCGCCATGTGCCTCTGTCGTCTGCTCACGCTGCTGACGGCTTCCGCTTTTTAACCTAGGCCTGTGTATGGCTTCAGAATAATGCTGCCTACACCGCCACCCTGCGCCATGTGCCTCTGTCGTCTCTGCTCACGCTGCTGCCAGGTCCATACTGATTCATGGCCCCCCTGTACCGGGCTCCTCATGAACGTGGTTCAGCGGGTTTGCATCACTTAATGGCA